GGCGGCACGGGCTTCGCTTTCACCCGCGCACACCGGTGCTGGGCGGCAAGGCTTGGCTGGGCGCGACCCAGCCACTCACTCTCACTCAACCCAAACAAACCCACCGATGCACGCCCACACACCGGGTGCGCATCCACAAAAAACAACCCGACGTGGCGAAGCACCGCACCGCTTCCAACAACCAACGAAAAAAAAAACCCGGAAATCGGCGACGACAAAATAAACGCGCACACGCGATCGGCCAGCCCAAACGATACTGCCGATCTTCCCCCCGGCTGCGCACGCATCGGATCCGTGCGCAGCTCGCGCTCTCCCCATCCCGCTCGCTCCCCCGCATGACGATCCTGGCAACGGATCGCCATCCCGTCGGCCGCCCTCAGCTCCGCCAATGCCCGTTCGCCGCACCTCAAACAAAGAAAAACCAGGCATGAGAGTGTATACCAACACACTCTCAGCCCGGGTGTAGCGAACGGACGAGAGAGAGACGAAGGAGAAGTCGGCGAGCCGAAATTCTCCGTCACAAGTTTAGTAGGACTATGTGAGTTTATGATAATGTTATTGGTTCGATCAAAATTGATTGTAAATTAGTATTTGATCTTGTAATTTTGTATTTATTTTAGCCCTTGAGAATGGAAAAGTAATGGTTATGGAATATTAGGAATTTTTATAAACAAGATGTGCACTGACAATATTTATTTCAAATATTCAGACATACGTCAGATTTGATAGTTTTATACTCATTGTCTATATTTTTTCCTGTCTGAGGAGGAAAAATATTGCATTAGACTCCCTCAGGAAATGCAATCCATGGGGAGTGTGGAGAATCTTACCCACTATCCCTCCACCATTGACCTGCCGCTGCGGCTTCTATAGTACTGAATGTCTCTTTTTCAGTATTATTTCAGTAGAAATTGTTCTGATCCCAAGGGATCCCTCTTCGAATGCTGTTTTCCTGAGCCTAGCAGTCTCTTTGGTCTCTTCAGCTTTTTTTATTTTATTGCTCTCTCCTTTTCTTCTTTGATTTTAATAGCTTCCATGATAAAATCAGCTATCTTATCTATAATAAGGTCTTTTGCGACAAAAGCATAGCCGTGATTAGATTATCTTGCGATATCCTGTTCAATCCTACTTCTGTTATAAGATTACTTCTTTCAGGTTCCTGTGCAGCTAGGGCATGCGAGCAAGGTGTGTTCTGCACCATCTTCTTCTCCACTTAGCCTGCAGTTATTGCTGGATCTATGACCTCTCTTAGTCCGGTTCATTCCGAAGCATGCACGACTACTAAGCTCCTGGATCAGTCGATATTCCAACTTGCTGTGTGTACATCCATTGTTCACCTTTCAATCAATCCTATTCCTCTTACCATCTCTGGAACTAGGTCTCTCTTTTTTTTCCCGTATGTGCTTCTTTTCTTCCTCGGTTTATTTTCCTTGAATTTGTCACTACTCTTCTTGTTCGAACCATATTCTTTTCCGTTCAAATGCTAGCATTAATATAAGAGGTACGTCTCATAGCACTTTATCCGTATACGCTGGACCGCTCTCATAGGCTTGTCGACCAAGTATACAGTACTGCGATCAACCCAAATATAGATGCTCCATACACTGTATATATTTAGAATGTTGAATATAACTTACCCTTAATAAATTATGAGCACCTGCAATTTTATTGATTATAATATAATATTATAAATTATTTTCATTACTTATTTTAATTACTATAATAATATAAATTAGCTTTAGAAAATGATTATAAGCAACTGTCATAGGGTACTCTATTCAATATTAACAACTTGATACGTGTAAAACTATTGACCTAAGTAATGTGCTTAAATTTGTGATGATGCGTCATCACACAAAAATTTCCGGCACTGCGGCAGAACAACCACGACCGCATACACCCGCCCACGCACTCCCGGATCTCGCGAACTATGACCTCTAGAAACCTCCCTGACCGATTCGCACGACCCTTACGCTCGCGTACAACCCCTCGCGCACTCACGACCCGATCCGACCCTTCCCCGGGGAGCTAGAAGCCCCTAAAGTTTCCAGCCGCGATCAGCTGATCGCAAGCCCCCGTTAGTTAAGGCAGGCCTAGCTAGACTAGAAGTAGGAGCGACCGAGCGCATGAGAGCGAGCGAGACCGCCGATGCTAGACCGATCGGAAGCGAGCGAGGGGAATCGGTAAGACCAACGAGCGGTGGATAGAAGAGGATAGACAAGCAACGCTATCTGACCGGCCAATCGTTATCGGCTTAGGGGTGGTTGGACTTATGAGAGAAAACCGACGCTATCTTCGCGACCAGTAGGCAAATTAGGCGCGAAGAACGGACCAATAAATAAATTGCGCGGGTAAAAAACATTAATATAGACGGCGCTGAGACCTGGCTTAGCAACAAGCTAACCAATCAACAAATACAAAGGGGAAGTAAGCTAGGAGAAGCGGCGCGTCGCCGAAAAACGGCGCGCCAGTAGTAACCGTTAAGCCTCGACGGTAAGTAGTCCGCCGAGCCTCGCTGTTGCGCGGTACAAAGGAGAGAGGATAGATAAAGTGAAAAGATTAAGCATACAAAGAGAATAGTGAAGGTGAGAATAGCAAAGAGAATAGTGAAAGTGAGCATAGCAGAGAAAATAGTGAAAAGAATAGTGAAGAGAAATAAGCATAGAAAGAGAATAGCGAGAGTGAGAATAGCGGAGAAAAGCGTCCGAACAGTGATAACAAATAGCGATAACATAGAGATAACAAATAGCGATAACGAATAACGATTAACGAGCAGCGATAACAAACAGAATAGTGATCGGCCGAAAAATTAACAAGAGTAAGTACCTTTTCCTTGCTACTGATTTTCTGTTGCATGACCGATAATCGCGAGTTTGCCGCGCATTGTCGACCGCCGCGTTTCGGGAGTGCCGTACGACCTTCGCGCGTCCGACAGTAGCATTCGTCCACTTATTGCTGACCACCGAAAATCCTTTTGTCGAGCCGATGTATGATCATTGTCCGCAATTTGAAGTTGTCGCATGATTACCGAACGCTCGCGTTTTCGGGAGTGCCGCATGACCTTCGCGCGCATTACGCCTTGTGACCGAAACGTTTGCCGTTGTCTCCAAGTTTTCTTTGTTACGTCGTCTCGTTGCCCTGCGTTTGAAATTGTCGCCTAATCGCCGAATGTTCGCGCGCGGGTATGCCGTATGACCTTCGCGCGCCCGTTGCCGTTGCTGTACATGTTTTCGCCACCGACCTTTCGGGCATAGTTTCGCGTGTCGCCGTACTGTTGTCATCCGAGAAACGAATTTTCCTTAGAGTGCGCGCCTATGAATTCCTCCTTTGAGCCGACCTAAACATTACACGAGTCGTGTTAGACCTTTGTTCGACCGGTAGAATTCGGATACATATTCGCCTTTATTTTGTTCGCGATCGTCGTTACAAGTACTGTCAACACCGCGAACAGTAGTTAACCTTCGCGCGACCGACCGAATTCCTGAGCGCATTAGTTTCGAACGAGCTGGAATTTTCGCCGCGAATAAATAAACCGACGTTGTATATCCGAATCGTATCCGAAGTCCGAAATACTCGACCGAATCGTTGTCTGTTTAAACCGGCCTCGCATCGTAGTACGCCACTCGCGTCCCCCAGTAACCTGGACCAGACTGACCATCGCGAGGGATAGACCACTGGGGTTGACCCGGGAAATCCTTTTTGCATAATAAATCCGAATTATCTTTACATCCGACTTATTATTGACTACACCCGCTTAATTGCCTCATCCCCCGTAGCTTTCGCGATCGGTTTGAGATCGGTAAACGCGTGCGCGAATTCCCCGACTGCCCTGATTATCACCCAACCGATAGCCGCCGTCGCAGCCACTACGCCACCAGTCCAGGGAAGGAGCTATCCCCCCTGAACCACTAGCCCGTCAACCGGGGCGCCCCTGCGACGCCCCCCTCGATGTACCCGCTTCTGGGTTAATAGCCGCCATGCCCCGAATCTTCTAGCTAGCCGAACGAGCCGCAGCCGTGGGTGGCCTTGTAAACCACCCGTTGCCCTCCTTCTTTCCCCTTTCGCTCGATGCGATCTAGATTCGAACGAATCGTCGCCTAGGACTTCGCGCTCCCGCTTCATTCTTCACAGGTGATAGCCGGCCACGCGCGCAAGAACACCAACGGCGACGAGGAGGGAGGCAACGGGGAAACCACCCGACCTCACAGCGACCAGCAGGACTTTGCCGAGAACCAGCCAACGTTGCAGCGCTACCACGCTCTCCTAACGCGAGAGCACGGTAGCTGGCGCCCAACGAAAACTAAATAAAGCTGCAAACGTTGTCTCGGCTGACTGCGCATCGCTGGCGACAGTGCGAGACCGGAAGAATACCCGTCTATTATTTTTCCCCTCCCTCTCCCCCGTCGCAAATTTAAACATTTTAAATGTATAAATTGATTTTAAAGGTTTCAACATTCAAATTTACAAGCTTAAGTGAATAAATGTAACCATAGAGTGTTGTAGATAAGTATGTACAGAAGGATCAACGATCAAGTGATATTAAAGTAAGCGAGGAACCATGAAAAAGCGAGTCAGAACATCGCGTAAAACGAAGGAGGGTGAGAAGGGCATTTTGCTAAAGTACGTTATAGAAAAATGACGAATACTAAGAGATGCCTGCATACCGCCATATATCTTGAGATTATATCTACAGAGCTAACGGCACTGATACACGCTGTCGTTATATCGTCAACGATATGTATTAACCTAATGTAATAAAGTAGATTTACTTCAAGAATGTACAGTTCATTGGGAATTTTTAGAAAATATCATTTTTATTAGTGTCAGATAATTTCAATAATTTTATTGATAGAAATTAAATCTTTTATTGAAAACCCGATCTATTAATTATTGTAATTTGTTTGAAGACTAAATATTTTGCTTTTATTCAGTATAATAAAAGATATTTGCTCGAGCAAAATTGTGGAAAAATAAGAAACATAAAAATTGTTGATAACATTTTACTTATTCTTTTTCAACTTGCGCATTTTCAAAAAAAAATTCTTCAATTTTCTTTTGATTCCATGATCGTGATATTTTTTACAAAAAATTATTCTTTCAGAACAGCAAATAAAAATTCCTAAACCAACGCCAAATAGCAGTAACAGAAAGGCAGGAGCAGCTTCATAAATGGAAACTGGATCGATTACTAGTATGTCAGTTCGACATTCCGGCGTTCTTGCAGACCAACGATGTATTAATCTAGCACGGAGACCCGTTTCTCTTACTCTGGCGGCTCTGTGAGCGAAAATTTATAGCCAATAGCCATATTGATATTAAAAATTTTAACTTAACAAAGTAGCCAAGCCATTTTGAAAATATTTACCCGACTTTTGCCATTTCAACAAAAGAACCATTTGAAGCCATGAATATGGTTGAATCAGTTGGTCGAACCAAATAGACCATTGTTAATTGGCATATTTGTTGGTTGTCGAATAACTGTTCAATTACTGGGAAAGCAACATTAACATCGGTGTGATATGCATAGTCACCTTGAAGAATACGTCTTATTCCAACGTAAGGCGACAAGAATTTTTCATTATCTGGAATTTTAACCCATCGTTTGTAATAAAACTGCTGAGCTTCCCAGTCTGATCTCTACGGGTAGAATTGTTACTTTTAATATAAATATCTTCCATGGATTAGCTTTGTTTTTACTTGTATTTACTCACCTTAATGAATAAATTAAAGTATAGACTAGGTTCTGCTCCAAATTTAAGACTAGTTTTTGCCAGTTCATTTAATGAATCATTAATTTTTTCTAATGGTTCACTTAAACGTGCAGAAACTACGCTTGCCGAATAATAATTATATATTAATAAGCTGAATAACATAGTTTGTAAAAAAGCTATGCGACTTGAAAGGTGTGTAATTTGAAGCTCAGAACCTAGACATAAAAACAGATTTTAAAATAAATTTTTCTATTTGATTGGACAATTTACTAATTTAATTATCGATGTATCAATATTATTTATTAATAAATTATTTTATTGAAACTAGCCTTGTTGACACACGCTCCCGATTGTGAATAAAACTGCTGAAGAGTATCTTTCAAATTTGTCACTTAAATGCTCTACTACTAATACCCATCCGAATACTAATACTGCCACAACGATGAGAACGACAGTCAAATACCAAGAAGCATTAGCCAAAGGTCGAAGAAAATGATTTACTTTGATGTGCTTTGATTGTGTTGTACGAAACATGAAGCAAGTTCTAAAATATTCATTTGTTAATAAATGAATGCGTATAACCTGAAACTTATTTCAATCATTCGGTACTACTGTATGTAATTAGCCGCAGTAATCATGCTAAAGTATTTATCCGTCAACTCACACCAAATTTTCATTGAAAAGATAGATCAGTTACAACAAAATTCCTCAACAGCAATAAATTAAAAACTGCCAACTGCATGCAAGAGCAATCTGAATAATGAAAATTTCGCAAATTTATTTATATATATATATATATATAATAAAATTTACGAAATTTTCATTATTAATGCTATCAATCAATTCATGATTTTAACTCTCGTCTTTCAATATTCAATTTATAGTATAAAGTAAATTGTAAGGCAAAAGATGTTTAATGCATCTAAAGAACCTATTGATATCGCTGCAATCAATTAATTATTATTTTCATTTCTAAAAAAATTTCTAATAAAATTAAACCAACGTAAAAAATCAAAGCATTTACAGTATAATCGGTAAATTACTCAACCTTAATGGCCATGCTGGAATCGGAGTTATAATAGATACCCGATCTGCAGTGGGAGTCCCAGTACTTCCGCCCAGTTCTGCAGTTCTTTCAAGAAGCATTTTGATTATTGGTCCATTTCTATTTGTCGGCTTCCAAACTGTCAGCTCTTTTGCTTCAATGCTGTTGAATTATATAAGCAGTATTTTTTTATACGCAAAAAAAATGACAAAAATAAAGAATTTAGTTACGTACAACAAATAATTTAACTTACGTGAAATTGAAAAGATCTGCTATTTGTAACCAAATGGAATAAGTAAACTTTGACATGCTATCATTCTGTTTGGAGCTGTAATCTTGTAAATATTCTTCTAATGACATATTTGGTGGCCTGTTTAGCACCTAAATAATTAATTATTTTTAATAGTGTTATAATTGATAATTGAAACTAATGAAATTTCAAGAAGATTTATTACATATTTATCTTATTTGTAAGTAAGGAAATAATTTTTGATTGAAACATAAAAAAAACTCACTATTCCCGCCATCCGCAATTTCATCCCGTGCAAATTGGCTCTTCTTGCAAATTTTGCTTGGGTCAAAGTTATATTAAATCCATTAGTATAGTTCCAACTACCTAATTCTGTTATATTTAGAATTCCATCTCGATATTTACACGGATTATAGACATCAAACATCATATAATTCGCATTTTCAAAAACAGCAACAACAAGGTCAGTTGAGATTGTATATTCTGTATCATTCAAAACTTGAATGGTATCATTGAGAGTCTTCCCTAACAAAAGCCAATAATGTTGCTCACCGTAAAGCTTAGCCACTGCTGCCTTGTTTTTGAAATATTAAACATTTAAATATTAAATTCTTTTACAATTAGAAAATAAATTGTGTTTTAATGTAAAGTATATAAAATAAAATTAGAGGATGCGCATGAAAGGTAGAACCTCACTATGATATGATATCGTAAAAAGCTTCTCGCACCTTCATGTTAGTCAATAATTAATATTAACCGAAGCATTATTAATATCAGTATAAAACTGTTTCTGAAAAGCAGCTACGAAAAACTCAACAACTAGTTATCGAACAATTATTTAGCTTCAATATACGTATGTTAATTAAAAGGATCATTCTCTAAGCAGAAAATGTAATATTTGTTATTTTTCAGTTGAGGCGCACCAATTAATAAAATAGACTTCTCAAAGAATCTGTCATTAAAAAACACTAAATATTCGGTTTCGATTTATATTTTAAGTTTTCTGGCTACAAATAAGAAATGAAAAGATATGTCTAATATAATATAATTAATTTGGATTAGACTAACCTTTGTCAATAAATATTTGTTTTCATCGACATCATGACACCGTAAATCTAAAAAAACCCCTAACCTTCGATATTTGGTGTATAAAAACGGTTTTATAGTGAAATTGACTCGTAACTTATCTATTGATGAAAAAATTCCTGCATCACTGAAGTTTTTCATTAAATTTTTATCTCCTGAAAATAAAAGTATTAACGGAATTTTTCTAAGCACTTAATAATTTTGAATATACAGAATTATCGAAGTATAACCTGCATTATCATTGCATGAAAACCCTACTACATATGATGCTCCTTTATAATAAAAATAATTCACTATAAATATATTATCTTGATTGGCAAAAGTAAAACTTATAAAGTATGTGATTAAAATAATATTCGTAAACATTTTTGGAATGATTTTAATGAAAAACTGAATTAATGTTCGGATTCAATACTATCATTGTTATCGTTGATACACTGACCTAAATGCATAGTTATTCACGAAAGAAAGGAGGTAGTTTGATTGTAATTTAATAAATAATAATCAATAAAACGTTTTGAATGTCTACAACGACAACATAAATATGACATGTACGTCATTTGTCTGAAATGTAATTGACGTAATAATAGACAAATAATAGTTTGTAATTTATCATAATTTGAACTAGCAAGTCATAGTATAGAACTTCTAGATTTTATTCACTATTTTCTCATAAAGTAACTTTAATTTCTTTGAATATATAAACTATAAGGTTATTTTATAGTTGTAGTTCTAGTTGTTCTGTTCTTGATATCCCTTTCGCAGATTTTTTATGTATACTTTTAATGTATACTTTACCACACTCAGCAGCATTTTGTCGTAGGCTTCCCTTTTATAATATCTCTGTTGCTGTTTTTTTTTTCTTTTTATACCTTTTTGTAAACTCCTAAAAATCATTATACTATATCGTAATCAAAAGAAGTTAATTTTTTACTTCTGCAAGATGTCCCTAACGTAATCCATCCCATAGATAAATGAAAGACGTCGATTTCTCCCTAGTTATATGACCTATAGCTTAAGATGAGTCCTAACCCACCGAAGTCGTGACACTAATGTTGGCATTCCCAGTTTTTTTAAGTAAATTGTTATTTAATGATAATCGAAATTGAAAGCATAGCACAATTGTTGTCTTTATTAACACATAATTACACTTTTTAGCCTGTTATATTAGCAGTAGATCATTTATAACTCATTTGTAACTCACTATTCGTTTACTCGAAAGAAATTTTACCATAAAAATTCAATCTCTCGTACACAATCAGTTATCTTCTCCGAAGTATCAGAATTCTTTTAAGTATTGATGGTTCAAAAGTAGTTATTGATAAACTTCCGAAATTTGATAATTTTGTTGAATTTTGCTTTACCATACAAGAAGATCCTCTATGTAACTACGAAGACAACACCGTAATTATAATTTGTAGTTAGAGTAAAAAAAGTTATACATAAATCATTTGTTTAAAAAATATCATCAAATTAAGAATTATGTACCATAGTCATTTAAAACAAATCTCAAAAATAACAAACATATGTATAAGATAAATAAAAAGTTGTATCTGGTGTATGTTAATACTACTGTGGGCAAAAAGTAAGGTGAATTTGTTTGTAAAATGAAAAATCTTTATTTATTCTTCTACATCAATGTCATCCCCTTCGAAGTAATCCCCTCCCGATAAAATACACTTATGCCAACGTTTTTTCCAATCCTCGAAACATGCCAAATAGTCCCTTTCCGGTATAGCCATCAGCGCCTTCTTCGATTCAGCTCTTATCTCCTTAATCGACTCGAAACGCGTTCCCCGGAGTGGTCTCTTGAGTTTTGGGAATAGCCAGAAGTCACACGGAGCCAAATCAGGCGAATACGGTGGTTGCGGAACGATATGCGTCGAATTTTTGGCGAAATGGTCACGAAGAACGAGTGCAGTGTGAGATGGTGCATTATCGTGATGCAAAAACCAAGAGTTGTTGGCCCATAATTCTGGTCTTTTTAGACGAATTGCTTCACGCAAACGACGCATAACGCTCAAATAATATTCCTTATTAACAGTTTGGCCGGGTGGAAGGAATTCATAGTGCACCACACCACGAAAATCGAAGAAAACTGTCATCATGACCTTGATTTTTGAACGACTTTGACGTGCTCTTTTCGGTCTTTGTACCACTTATAAACATTTTTCTGCGACATGGTAGAATCACCAAAGGCCTTCCGCAACATCCTCAACGTTTCCGCAGCCGAAATTTCATTCCACAAACAAAATTTGATGGCACTTCTTTGCTCAATTAAATCAGACATTGTAAAAATCGAAACATGCACTCTTGGTCGTTTGGTAAACACAAGCGTAAATATATTACTGATGATGACATTGACATGAAATTTGTTCCAGATGTCATTCGCAGTCCTACCAACTCAAGAAAAAAAGAACTAGCCCGAAATGTTAAGCCCGCGAAGTTTAAATTGAAAATTCACCTTACTTTTTGCCCACAGTAGTACGTATATGAATTTAAAAGAAATAAATAATTAAATTTATGATCCAATATAAAATTTTACGTTTTTCTTTCTAAAAGGAATTTTTTTAGAAATGCAAATTTTTTCATTGGAATTAGATATCACGTTCAGATGTACGATTTCCCCCGGAATTTGAATCTGCGATAAATACCAAAGATTAATATTTGAAATTTACAAATTGAGCCAGATTTAGGCCTATATTAGAAATTGAACATAAAAATTGACTTTAAAAATTTCAAGGAATATAAAAAATGACAAAAGAAACACTGTAAAAGTTTTGAAAATTCGAGATTCCTTACATACTAAACTAAAAATGTAAAAAACACAATTTTTACACATATTTGAGGTTATGTAACATCTTAAGATAAGTTAGTTTCCATCAAATTAATCAGCGCATCTGAAAGTATCAGCCCTTTCCTTCAAAATAAATTTTGAATCGGTCAGATATCTTTTATTTCACAGAAATATAATAATTTGAACTTAACGTCTCATCAACTTACGTACTTAAATGCAAGGTAACTATTATAATTGGCAACCCTGATTTTACTCCCTAAATTACTGTAGGGGCCGCTAAAAAAACACGTATACAATATTTTTTAATGCACTACACGTATGCAAAGTTTAAAGAAAATTGGTAACGGACAACTCCTTGTCTTCCCTTGTAAGTTACGAGAAAATATTTTAGTTCATTCAAGAGAACTAAATACTTTTATTTAAAAAAAGAAAGGATGACAAGATGAAAAATTGAATTTATAGGAGAATCGCTATCGAATGACTTTTTATTTTGAACGTAAAAAAAGATATTTTACTTTATCTAACCATCCATCAAAAAGAAAATCAGTGAATCCTAACGTTGGATCAGATTTATCAATAAAATGAATTAGGTTATCTTCACCAATAAGTAATGAAGCAGTAGCATCGACTTCCAAAACAGTCTGCGTACATATTCTCTAAAAAGAAGTAACTTCAGTTATTGTTGCTGCATCAGACAGTAATAGTAATTTGCACTTTTCAGCTAATGATAACGATTATGACTTTGAAAACTTATGTATGTTACATGTGGCAAAATTTTAAGTTCAAGGCATAATGAGATTCAGATATTATCAAATGTCGTTCGTGAAAATCTACTAAAATATGCATAAAATGGTCAGGATGAATTGAGTATAAAAATGCGTTTATGAAGAGTTATAAGATGACGAGGGAGAGAAGCTGCAAATAAGTAATTTTCAATTGCACTGACAATGAGATTAATGTAGATTTAATACCAGTGACGTCATTTCACAGTCTCATTCACACCTGTACATTCAAATTAAAATCAGTTCATACATTAACATAAATAATTAGTTGTTAAGATTAGACAATATTGAATAGCTGTTTTTTCTTTAAAATTAGATATTCCCGAATCATTGTCTTGGTAGCGTGTTTTATCATATGGCACTTGTAAATTTCAAGTAATTGAACGAGTTAGGTTTTATTACATTTATACTTTGCGACGAGACAAGGGGAGGGAGTATAATAATACTAAGTTAATAAGGAATCGAGTTTATTAAACCAACTTTTATCCCCGGGTCAGCCCAAGGTCAATCGCTCACGATGGTCTACCTAATCTAACCTGGTAGGGGCGCGAGTGGCGCACCATGACGCGACTTCGACTTGGGTTGACGACAGTTGATGCGGACGGTCTCAAGGATTGCGAGGCGATTACGTAACGTTGAACCACTTATTTCACGCGCAAAAGCTCAAAAGTTCATTCAGGGAAACCAGCGATGAATTTACATACGCACGAAGGATCGGTCGGTCGCGCGAAGGTCAGCCGCTACTCGATCGATGTTTAGCACATCAAAGCAATAATCATATAACGAAAAACAGAGGTTAGTGATGCGCGTATGGAGTGAAGGTCAGACGCGACTCGCGTAATGTATGTAAGTCCGATCGGTTTCAGAAAGAATTTCGTCAATACACGTATGAAACTCGTCGCCCGCGCGAAGGTCATGCGATGCTTGTCGACGCTCGGCAATCACAACGGAAAATCACACTAAAGAATCTACGATAACTAACGCGTACACGGGGGATCGGACGGTCGTATGAAGGTCAGGCTTTGTCTATTCGGTATATGGCAACTTATAAGGAAATCGCTTCGAGAGGATCGGCAATAAGACTACGCGCATACGGAGAATTTACGTTCCGCACGAAAATCGGAAAAGTTCGCTCATCGTTCGGCAGATCGGTAAAGGTTAGGCAAAGAGTCGACGGCAAATAGACACGCGCGCGCGAAGAATTCGCTGTTCGGACGATACTCGGTATGACAACAACAAAGAAAAATCGCCCGAAAGGTCAGTGACGAAAGATGCGCGAACAAGCGAATTTATCAGACGTGCGAAGGTCGTGCGGCACTCCCGATAACGCGGACGTTTAACAATCACGCGATTTAAGGGAAGAAGAGAAGCGTACTTACTCGTGCGTTTGTTCGACCTCGACGCGATCGCGACCGCGGCTACCGCCGCTATTGCCGCCGTAGCTACCGCTACTGTTGCTGCCGTTGCTCCTGCCGTTGCTGCTGCTACTGGTTGCTACTGTTGCTGTGGCTGCTGCTCGCTGCTTGCTGGGGCTGCTGTTTACTGCTGCTGCTCGCTGCTGCTGCTTGTTGCTCTGCTCTGCTTGCTCTGCTGCTTGCTTTGCTTGCTGCTTGCTCTCTTTGTCACTCACTCGCGAGTTCAAGTCTCCGGTCGGCTTCGGAGGTCAGCGGTTAACTCTCTGGTCGGCTCCAGAGTTCCACGAGTACTCGGATAAAGGTTTCTGGTCAGCTCCAGGGCTCAGCGGGCACTGACGCGGCGTTTTTCGGCTATGCGCCGCTTCTCTTCACTTACCTCCCCTTAGAAATCGTGCGATTGGTCGGCTTGTTGCTAAGCCGGATGTCAGCGCCGTCTATTTTGTTAATTATTGTCCGCG